GTTCCCTGTGGGGACTTCAACCAAGGGAACAAGGTACTTTCTGCCAACATTGTATCCTTCTAGGACCTCTCATGTCAAGCCAGCTTGGTCAAGCATCCACAAAGGCCATGAAGCTCACTAGTCCTATTCTTCATAGTCTTTAATGCAGTCTGGGATCTGAGCTTCTATTCTGGGACTTCATGTTTATCTCATACCTCAGGACATCTGTGTCCTCAGAATAATATCTACGTAGCATTAGTTACTTCATCTTTGAGCTTCATGTGGAAGAAATGACTAGTAACTGATGGGAGCATTTCCAAACTCATGTTTTACTAGGGGTGAGAAACCTTTCTGAGGGAGAAGCTCTTGAAGGAACCATGCTTCATATACTATCCTTAGATATCCTTGACACTCTGGATGCTGCCAGTGGTTTATCTCAGCTGTCCTCCCATCAGGTGCTGCCTCTTGAAACAGACACTATTAGGTTAGATGGGCTGGATCAACAGGAATTCTTTATGGAATAAACTGCTGCCCATCTGGCAGGTCTAGAGATCTAATTCTCTCCTCTCTTCAGCTGGTTACTCCCTCTCCTTATGAAGAAGGTGGCTGTAGGGTTGTTCTCTTGCTATTGCTGGAGGCACTTCCAAGGCAATCACAGAGCATTGGGGATCTTATGGATGGTGGAAATCCTTTTACTGATGGAGTACCTTGAAGGTCAAGTGTCATCTGGGAAGTGAGTAATTAGAAGAGGTCAGAAGGAAAGCAGGAAAAGGTAGTTTCCCAATGTGACAGAGAGTACTTGGCCTTCATTCCTTACAACTTTCAGCTCCAGGGAGATAGAAGGAGCAAACTCCAAAGATTAGTTGGTATCCAGAAACTTGTCAGGGAATTAGGCCTGTCTTGTGAAGTGTATTAGTATTTAGATGCTTTTCTAGTAAATTGTTATTTATGGTGTCTGAAAGAGCAAGACATGAGTCTTCCAAGTACAGATAGACTGAAATTGCCTCTCCTCCTTTCTACCTGGCCCTTGAATTGCAAAAGATGTCACCACTTTCTTGTGTCCTAGCTTGTCCATGAGTGGACTTCCTTCTCTCAGACATTCTGCACCAAACCCAGGGCTGAGCAAACCTTTTTCCCAGTTGTATGTGGACTCAGAGCCCTTGCATCACCAGGCAGCAGGTCTCGAACTGGAAAAGGCTTTTGGACAAAGGCTCAGAAATGCTGTCAAACTTTATGAGAGACTAAACCTTGGTGCACATGTATTGAGGTAGAATAAGCCTTCTCTCACCATCAGGGAACATAAAACACTCCTAATGAGGAAACCATTGGCCATGTAAGAGTTTATGCTGCTAAATATGCAAAAAAAGAGCTCCAGTGTTGTAGACCAATGCCTGTATGCAAAGTAAGCTATTATCATCACATCCTTTCCAACTTTTCCAAGGACTGAACCCAGTGGAGGCTTTGAAATTTCTCAGGTGATACTTTGCTCAGGCAGCCAGGAAGGCATGGCCATTTTCTCCTGGGATAGAGAGACATGGATACATTTTCCCACAAAATTTCAGCTCTTCAGTTATGTCAGGAGTACAGGCATCCCACCTTGCAGCAGAATGCAACTCAGGTCCACCAGACAACTGGCCAGCTTCAGCAACAAGGAGGTCATCTTACCGTTTGAAGGGTGTCCTGGTTTCAGCTGGGATAGGGTTAATTTCCTTCCTAGTAGCAAGTACAGTTCTGTGTCTTGGATGTAGAATGAGAATAATGTTGATAACACACTGATGCTTTAGTTGTTGCTAAGCAGTGTTTACATTAAGTCAAGGCTTTTCAGCTTCTCACACCACCCTCCTGAGCAAGAAGGCTGGCAGGCATAAGGAGCTGGAAGGGGACACAGCTGGAACAGCTGACCCAAACTGTCCAGAGGAATATTCCATACCATAGGGTGCCATGCTCAATATATAGGGGGAGAGCTGTCCAGAGGCTTCGGCCCTGGAACCGATTGGGCATCAGTCAGCAGATGGTGAGCAATTGGATCATGCAGCAGTTGCTTTGTATATTCTCATTATTATTATTACTGTTCTTGTTGTTATTTTGGGCATCAGTCAGCAGATGGTGAGCAATTGGATCATGCAGCAGTTGCTTTGTATATTCTCATTATTATTATTACTGTTCTTGTTGTTATTTTCCCTTCATTTTCTGTCCTGTTAAACTGTCTTTATCTCCACCCACCAATTTTACTTTTTTTTCCTCATTTCTCTTCCCCATCCCGCTGAGGGAGGCACAAAGAATGAGCAGCTGTGTGATGTTCAGCTGCCTGCTGGGTTAAACAGTGTCAGTCCTTTTTGGCACCCAATGTGAGGCATGAAGGGTTGAGATAACAACAGATCTGACCAGATCATGTTAAAAAAAATTATGATAAGTATTCATTGTATTAGTTTAAAAGTCACGGGTCACGATGTTGATTTATTTGCTCTCAGAGTTGTCACGTGTGTTCTCAGAGTTGCGTTGTGTAACACCTGACTTGCTGTGCTGTTTATCACCTCTGTGGCCTGGGTTCAGGTCATAGTTTCATTCTACTGTGTTAATACTGGCTTATGAGATAATAAAACTGATGGTCATGAGACTGATCTGGTATTTCTACTCAACATCTCCGTGCGTTGGGAGCCATCTGTTGGAAACTATTAATAATTACTCCTTTTACCTTGATAATTTTGGCAGTTTTGAATATCCTTGGGATGTTCAAACCAGCGTGTTCCTATTGCTATGTCTCCCAAATGTGTTTCAGGTCCTGTCTAGGGTTAAACAACTTTAAGAATACCACCCAGAGATCTGTCTCAAGGCTGGATAGTTATGAGTGGCAGGGTGTGGGGGAGAGTATGGGCAAATGCCTAAGACAGTGGTCACCTCCAGTGTTTTGGAATTTCACTACTGAACAGATTCAGAATCCTGAAGGGCTATTAAAATATTTGGAAAAAGTATGCTTCCACCTTGGCAATTCCAGAGAGACACAAGTCACTGCAGTGTCCTGGGGCCTGGTCCAGAACTACAGAGCTCAACACTATTCAGTACCGTCAGGGGGAAGAGGAGGTCTTTAGTGACAAAACAACAGGCACTGAGGCTATGTGTAAACATTGGGATACACATTTAGCAAAAGCCACCTGGTTCATCAGCACTAGGGGATCTGCCAATTGGGCTGGCCCTGTCCAGTCAAAACTTCTACATACTGTAGAAGAGGATTAAGTCCCTGTAGTGCATGTAAAAAATATACAGTGGAAAACTGTCTGAGTTATTTCTGCTTCAGGCAAAGGCAAACCTGTCTGTGTTTGGATCTGGGTACCCTTGGTGGGTAATGTGGAAGCATAAAGAAGTCTGATATGTACCTCAAGGGAATTTGACTCTGGGTGAGAACAGCCAATGATTTGCATTGTATGATGTTAATTGCTCTCTAATACTGTGTGTCATCACTAATATGGTTGATGAATGTCATATCAACAGGATTACAATATGGATTACCCAGATTAATGAAGAATGGATTTTGATGAAACTGGCTGAAGTGCAGCAGTGATGAAACCAGAACTGTCTTCACCATGCAACAAACCAACACCGCATGCCATGTCTCCTGCCGTGCTATGACAGCTGGAGGCCCTAGACATAGACTGAATGAACTCAAAGGACATTTTAAGGGGATGGCCCACAGACTAAGGGAACAATGTCTACACGTATATATCAGTCAGAGAAAAGGATATATTGGAAAGTGTGAGACCTAATCATGATGTAAATAGTATTGCATAAGGGGTGAATATTGTCCTGGTTTCATCTGGGATAGAGTTTTTTCTTCCTAGTAGCTAATACAGTGCTGCATTTTAAATTTAGGATGAGAATAATGTTGATGACACACAGATGTTTCAGTTGTTATTGAGAAGCATTTAGGCTAAGTAACAAACTTTTCAGCTTCTCACTCCACCCCACTGGTGATTAGGATGAGGGTGGACAAGAAGCTGGGAGGATACATAGCCAGAACAGCTGACCCCAGCTGACCAAAGGGATAGTCCATACCATATGGCATCATGTTTGGCATATAAATTAGGAGGAAAGCTGGCCGGGGGCTTCTGCTCAGAGACTGCGTGGACATTAGTCTGTGAGTGATGAGCAATTGCATTGCTCCTCACTTGTTTTGTATATTCCAATTATTATTATTAATTATTATTCCCCCTTGCTTTTCTGTGCTATTAAACTGTCTTTATCTCAACCCCCAAAGTAGCCTGCAGGACTGGATAACACAGGGCTATACCTGTCTGTGCTTCGTTTTGTTTTCTGGATATGTGGTTTTAGTCTTCCAAATGACAGGAGGAGAATGGTGGGATTTTTGTTTGTTTGTTTAAATTTCAGAATACCCAAGATGTGTTTGAATATCACAGATGACAATGGGAATCCCAGTCTGCTTCTCAAACCTGTTTCTCTGGCAAGGTAGGGAGGACATGAAGTTGAAAAGCTTTCCCTTAGGGAAAGCATCCCAGCCCATGCTGAAGGAAGCACTATGAAGACCTCTTCTTTCCGTGAGCTGTATGTACAACATGACTCTGAGGAGGCAGCAGTATGTAATATGAATTGCCAGGACATGCATGGGAACTGAACACAAGCCAGGAACAGGATTTATACATACTTAAATATATATACTTAAATGCACACAGGCTCTTTAGGTACCTATAACTCTATTCAGAAAGATATTTTTTCTGACTGTCTATCATGCATGTAGGAGTTATTTAACTCCCCAGTGAAATGCCAGAAGAAAAAGAAAACATCACAAAACAGAGTATACATTTTTTTGTTTGGTCTTTTTTTACCTTTTTTAATTGTATTTTATTGTTAGGTGGAATTGTGTACAGTGCAAATAAATCAATATATAAATTCAGGGAGAGAAAGTGCAGTCCAAGAGTTTGCCACCTTAATTAGCCAGAGGATTAAAATTGTTTTGGAGTACCAAAACAAACAGATGTGAATTCTTTGGTCTTTGTTAAGCACTTTCTTCAAGAGTTTGATGACCTTTTCCCTGTGGAAAAGAAGCACAAATTGTAGAAGCTGTACCGGAAATTGGCAATGCAGACAACTACGTTTTATCCTAGTGTTCCTCTAGCATGCCCTGAGTGAGGTGGTGCCTAAAGAAAAGCAAATCTGGCAAAGTTTGCCCTGAGAGGTCAATTCTAGTTATCCTCCCCCTGCTACTGTGCTGCTGAACTTGGTAAGTGGCATGCACGATATCTCTCATTTCCTGCTAGTAGTCCCACTCACTGAAACAATTCATTTGCAGACCAAAGTCTACAGGATTTTCTTGGCAATATGTAGGTGTGCAGAAAGACAGTGTGCCAGGCTGCTGCACTGCTGCTCATCACCTCTTGGTTGCAGTGTGAATATGCTACAGAGGGAATATAGTGGATGGAGTATGCAGGAATGTGTTTTCCCATTGTTTGTTCCCCTTCTTTCTTTTTGGTCATATGATGGAGCACTTGCAATCAGGGAAAATGGTAAAATGTGTATCTCTGTAGGTTTTGTCTTGAAAATCAAGTGCCATAATAAATTTACCGTATAACTTCTGAATTCCTCTCCTGTCATCTGCTGAAAGTCTGAAGGACGCTGGGTTCACATATGAGTAGACAGGATGCATCAGAGCTCCACGGACATTTGAATGAGCAAGTCCCAAGGAATGGCCAAATTCATGAGCAGCCACAAGGAACAAATTAACTTCTGCAGCATGGAAGTACAGAAAAGTGTGTTAAAGGTATGGCATTTCTTTTCAGAATACAATGAGTTGAAATAGCAGGAGAATTTGTATCTTTCATTCATTTTTGGAATGAAACCTCAGTTTTGATCCATTTTTGCTGCACTTTTTATGTAACTATAACATTTTATAAAAGCATTACTGATTTCTTGCCTATGCATCTAGAGACCTTGAGTCTCTTTTCAACTCCAATTTTAGTCAACATTAAGCAAGTCAATTTACTTTTTCATATTTTTTGTAGAAAACAGAAGCTCAAAGTTTTTGTTTAGTCTGTGAAAAGTGCTTTAAAATATGGACAGAATAGGCATTATGTAGCTGTTAATGGTCACGAAGCCCAGGTACTTAGAGAGGCAGTTGAAAAGAACAGAAATGTTGGTACTGAAGTGATACTGAAGCATGAAGAGTTATGGAAAACATTCCCTGTGGCTGTGTTCTTCCAACATGTGCAGTATTTGCCTTTCCCCTTCATACAAATGTTTGGGCTTTACCGTGATTGAACTCTGACCACCTTTCATCATCATCAAAATGAGCATCTCCACCAAGCCCTTCTCCAGGTGCAAACGCATGGGCTAGTGTGTTGCCTCTTCCATCAAAAGGATATCCATCACCATGCTCTGCGTTTGAAAAGAAATAAATGCCATCAGATGACATCAGCTTTTGTATTTCAATTCAACAAATCGAATCATGTTGCTTGTTTGTGCTATTTTTGATCATTGCCAATAACAGCAAGGTAGTGAAAATGAGAAGCAAGGCTAAGGAAACATTTTTCAAATTCCTGGTTTAAGTTCAAAACTTGCATTTGATAGTTCGGGGGGCTGTATGATTCAAAAAGAGCTGAATTTGGTTTTTTGCCTGAGCCTTTGTCAGAAGTGTGGCAGCAATCAGGGATTATTTCAGAATAAATACCTAATGCTTGACAACATTGTAAGCACATGAGTGTTTTCAATGTTGAAAAGTGCTGGACAACATTAGTTGGAGACACTGCCACTTGCACTGATGTTGCTGTGAGACAGTGATTTGAGATAGGTAACTTTTTTCCTGAAAAGCTAAGCTAATTTGTCCCTAGCCTTGGGGTGTGGTCTATTACCTACTTCTGTCACAGTGCAGGTGGAACACTACTGTTTCCTACCTCAAGAGCTGTAACAGAATTTTACTAACTGAAAAATTCCCCCTACTTTGTAGTGAGTCTCTGACTTGATTGAGGAGTATTTTGAGGACTCAGATGCTACTCTGTGTCCTTTCCCCCACAGCATGTGGATGGACCTTTGTGGTAGGGCTAACACAGGCAGAAAAGACCTAAGCTTAGTGTGCGAAGAGGGATTAAAACTCATTCTATCTTGAAGGATCCTTTCTCACTTTGAGTGGCACATTGTCACTTCTTTATGGCAACATAATGTGCTTCCCATCAGTGACACATGAGCTTTGGACATTTTGGTGTTTTTAAGCAGTCATCTGCTTGCAAGCCAGGTGTCTGATCTTCACTTACAGTCAGTGGGGCTGTAGCAAATATCATCAATGAATCCAGAGAATAAGTCAGATAACCTTATCATAGGCATTTAATCTGCTTAAGCGGAGTCAGTTTAGTTGTCAGGCATAAATTAAAGGTATGGCTACATTCATATGCTATTCTGAATCCTAAGCAAACTTCTGAAGTGACTCTATTGGTCATCCCAATTTACCATGCTTTGGATTGCACTTTGGTGCAATCTTGGAGTGCAGCAATGGGATTCCTTCTAGAAGAAGATCAACCAGAAGATACTATTTATGGCCAAACCTAATGCACCTCAGCTGCCAAAGACTGTTTAGTCCAGGGAACCAGAGTAGATCTAGACTAAGGTAAGCCTGCCCTAACCTGCCTGAATCCAGCCTGTGGAGCCTGGATCTTCAGAACCTTCTGGTTTGCACTATAGAGCCTTTCCCATTAGTTTGCACTATTCATCAAGGGAAACTTTGAACATCTAGATTTAAGTGTCTCATTCTGAAGCTGAATTCTCCCACCATTTCACAGCTGTAACTCTGAAAGGATTTTCTAATGATTTCATACAAGTAAAATTGAATCATAACATGCAAATTTGGTGACATAATAAAGAGAAGATAATACTTATGCATACTTCAATATAATTTCAAACTCTTTGTTCCTTCTTAAAACTAGGGTTATAAAAACATATGCTTTGAATCAAATATGGACCACTGTATTTTTAAAATGACAGGTATTCTCACCACGGCGTGCAAATCTAATCTCAATGTCTGCGTGGCCCGAGTATACTTTCTGGAAGTGCAGTGGGGTCACATCACTCCATACCATCAAAGCCCTTTTAATAGCATCATCCACTTTCTTTCTGGGTAGATCAGGTGTGTAATTGACAATCCTGGCAGCAAAAGGAAACAGATTAATGTCATTTAGGGTGTGAATGAAAGCCATATAGTTAAATATAAAGCAATCTCTTTCTCCTTAAAACCTAGAACATCACTAACTTGTAAGTCAAGTGTGTCTTTCTCCATCTTGGAGTTCCAGGAAATAGTTGGTATTCTGCTATATCAGGCATTCCACATCTGGGGAGTTTAATTGTTGCTTCTGTTTCTGCATTTAATTTTCCAGTTACAGTCAAGTGGAAAAACCTCTGCATTTCTTTAATCCTCTCTTCTAAGCTTAGGTTTTGTGTTTTTGAAAAAACTGGAAAGAATTTGTCAAGATATGCCTGGAAGAAGATAAGGAAAATACAAATTAATATATATATCTGTGATGTTTTGATAACTGCATTTTACATTTGATTGAATTGTTTCATCATCCTGCTAGTTTTAGTTATATTTTTCCTTCCCATTTCAGCTTACCAAAGTCTATTCTTTCTGTAGTATAGATAAGCATATATGCAAAAAAATTGCAAAAGTAATGAAGCATTGTAAGTAAGCAACCCTGTCAAGTAAGCACAATTTACTGAGCATTTAAATCTCCAGCCTTCCAACACAGTCTACATAAAATTTTTTAGATGCTTTAAAAATTACATGGTCCCCTTTGTCAATTGGAACTTGGTCACCTTTGTAAGTTACACTTAGGGTATCTAAGCTAGTCAGCAAGTTTAAATTGCTTTATGTCACCTCTGCAAAAACTGTTGTGGTAATGTAAGATAAGGATAATCAGATAGGAAAGGAATGCAGAAGCTGAATTAAAAAGTCAGATTATTCATAATGCAGTTATATTTTTCTCCCTGATAACATACCTTTATAGACTCAAGGTCTATGTCACTCCATGATTCTGGTTTCACTGGAGCTGGAAAAGCAAGACTCTGAGGTAGGAGGATGGCAGCACAAAGTAAGAGGTATTGCATGATGCCCAGCTTGCCAAGGAGCCTTGCTGCAGCAGAAAGGGATGAACCTTCTGTCTCCCAAGACCACAGCTAAATTGCTTATATAGATCCTGATAGCTCCAAGTGGCAATTACGTATGTGACTCACTTTTTGATGTTGTTAATGTAATGTCATCACTGTTCTAAGGAGTAAATGAAAGCATGTTAAACAAATCTTTCCTGTAACTTCCCTGTTGATGTCACGTCAGAGCTAGCAGCCAGCTTTGTCTTTCTCTTTGCATATTATTCCAGTAGTGAAACCACAGGGTCATAGGGAAGTTCACTTTCTGTAACTTTATCAGCACAGTTACTGTGCAATCGCTTCTTACTACCCTTCCCCCAGGTTCCTTATACACTAAAGCATTTTGCAACAGCTCTTTGTCTGCCTGCCTATATCAGTTGATGTAGAGGCAGAGATGAGCTGGATGCGAGTCTTATATCACTGAAACTACTGCCATTTCCTAAGGAGCATGCACAACACTGCCCAGTTCAGTAAAATGTAAGAGGTTTCTGCAGTTTTTGCAGAGATCAGAAAAGAGCTCTTTAAATGTGCCCTCTAGAAATAGGAGGCTGTGAGATGCCTTTGTACCTTGCATGGCAAATGCTATGGTCTTTCAGAAGAGTATCTTTATGCTGGAGAACTAGATATAAAATGTAGCATACAAGAATGAGTGAAAACTCTCAGGGAAAAAGAGAGAGCTTATTCTGGCAAATGTGAAGCTATCTTCAGCCTCCAGCTGTACCGTGCAATCTGAAGGAGGTCCATGAAGCACTGTCAGAGGAGACCAAAGGTGAGCAGGGCAGCCACAAGCCCCCTGTCCTCCTCATACCAATGCTGGTTTCAGGTTCACTCCACTAAACTACACTGGATTGTTTTTGAGGCCTGGAAACAGCAGTCCCCAAGCTGGTTTGTGACTTTTTTTAATGTGACCATATTATATCTAATCTGTATCAATGGGAAAAGAGCATTACTATTTCTCACACTAGGACAGCTTGCATGGGTATAGATGAACATGTGTGGAAGCATTTGTGGGTTATTAGCTAATGTGCAATGTACTTCTGACTGAAGTGATGTGTAAGAATTTCAGAGAGGCACGATCTATACCAAATCACTGCTGAATTATTTGGTTGGACCAAGTCCACTGCACAACAATATCTGAAACAGTTGCTAAAGGAATGATGCTGCCACCCAGTATTGAAAACAGCCCAGATATACACATGTGATCATTTCTGTACATTCTGGTAGGCTTACAGGAAATCTGTCCATGTCCAGATTTTAAAGCTTGATGATAAACCCCCTGTTTTATTGTTAGGAGCAGGATCATCTTTTTCTTCCTCAGCTTAGTCAGATTTATGTCTGACTCCGGTAGTGAAGTTGGATCTGGCCCATCGTCTGGTGGCAAGAGATGAGGATGTGTTTAAACCGCTTTGAACTCCATGACTCTAGTGTGTGGTACTGATTATTTCCTCACAGACACAAGAGGAATCTGAAAGCCTTCAGGGCCCCTATACAGTCGATGGACTATTGAGCAACTTGCATGTATCTCCAACTGGGCCATGGGCGAAACTGAAAAGGAGAGTTTAAACACAAGAGCCTGATGAAAAAGGACAGATGACATGTTACATTTCATTTTCTGCTGGAAGCTTGTCAACTCTGTTGGTTTTTTTCCTCCAAAAAAAGAGAGAAGATTTTGATGAACATTAGGCTTGAATTGAAATTAAAAGCTTTCAGTAAAAA